AAGCAAGCAGGTAGGATTACTATGTTCTTTTGTCAGAAGTATATAATGTCTTGTAGTCAGTTTTAAAGACTTCTCAACCCCCAAATCCACCCAGCAGTCACCTGCTGAGTAATTTTGTATGCCTAATCTCTAGCCCTTAACTACAAGCTTTCTGCTAATTTGAGGCAAATGGGTATTTTTGACACTAAATAGGGCAGTAAAGAATCCCTGACCTAGAAAAACTCCATTCCAAGGCACTGAGAGCAGAAAAATATTCTTTCAGCATCCTTGTGAGACCTTTGAAATGACATAAAATAGCTTTGACTAAACTGTGCTGCAGCTTTCGATTAATGGTTTGCAGAAACTTGCTGAACATCCCTACTACAACTTCCCCCATAAAACTTGTCACTTCAGATTGCCATCAGCCACCACAACAATAATCATTTCATGCCTATTGCTAATTGCAAGCACAGCTGAGGCTCAGCGGGGTGCTCTTGCACAGTCCCAGGCCTTTATACCAGCCTCAATCTGTTGTATGGCACTTGTTCACACACAAAAAAACTACCAGTAAAGGCAGAAAGAGGCAGAGTCACAGGTTTCTTGTAATCCCTCTGCTACCCTGCTGACAACCCAGCCCTATAAGCATTCCTGGTTTTGTCCCACTCTTTACAAAAGCTGAAGTGACCTTAAGCTACTAGTATGTAAGCTTTTGAATGAAGAATACAGCTCCTTCAGGTGCCTTAAGAAGCAGTGTTGCATCTGGCTTACGAGATTCTGTTTGCAGCACCCCTGGGGTGAGCTGTGGCTTCCTGTAACATGTAAAATATGAGTGTGAACTCAAGGTTCATGGCAAGGAACAGGAGGTCATGCTTCCATTCAGCTCACACCAAAGAAGACGGGGGTTTGCAGATGTTCCTGGGTATGTGTAATGACACCACCTCCCGGAAAGCGCAGGAACACAGCACAAGGCTTTTTTTTTTTTTTTGATAAAACGTGCCACACTCAGTGTGTTACTTGCAGATTTATTCATATCAATCTTTGCAATTTATGTATTCAGAGACAAACTTGCTATTTCAGCAACTTATTGATCATGCTTTTGCATTCAAAAAAAAAAAAGGCAGGGGGGAACGAGGAAGCTTCTTGCTCGAGCTGGCTGGGGTGTTGCATGGGCAGCCGTGGAAGCCCACGCCTTGGTATGCTTCAGTTCCTCTAACGCCTGTCCCGGAGCATCCCAGCCAGCCCATGGCCCACCTCATCTACCCAGGCTAGCACCTAGCAATGAGGGTTGCTGGGAAAGACAGATGGGGAACGGGAAAACTAACCTGAAAAAGGGATTAAATTCCTGGTCGTGCACATACCGTATCTATTTGCTGTTACTGGGCTCCGATAGCATCTAAAGAACATCTGTTTGCATTTTCTGAGCTGTTAGCCAGGTCACCTGCGACACACCTCCGTGGGAGCCCTGGTCCCTTCCCCGCTGATATCCCAGTGGATGTGTGGCACCTACCACGCACCCCCCGGGATGCAGCCTCCACAGCCGTCCCTCACCCCAGGCCCCCGGACTAAGTGCAAATTGTTCTCCGAGTGACGGACGGGGGTGCCAGCAAGCATCAGTAACGTGCGCGCAGCAGTGAGATATGTGGCGTTGGGGTCTATGGGCCTGGGAGCATCAATGAGGTCTAGTTATGCTTTACAAGCAGTTGTGAGGAGCTTTGAGAAAATGTATTTATACCAGTTACTGTGCCCACGCCACAGTTTAGCTGGCCCTGGGGCTCCAGAAATGTGCCTGAAATGTGTTGCCCCAGGGTAAGGCCCCAACGGTCAGCATTTGGGCTGTGCCCTCTGCACCTTGTGTATGGGGACATGGCGCAAGGCTGCAGCCGGAGCCCCGAGGAACCCTGCGTCCCCGGCACGCGCCCCGGTGCCCTTCGGGAAATGGCAGATCCACCCGGGGAGAGAGAGGCAGCCGGCGTCCTGGCAGGACCACGCTGCGCTCTTTTGTCTGGAATGATCACGTTTCCATTTCGGAGCATTTGGCTTTGTTGTTGTTTTTTTAATAATATAATCATATGCAAATGTTATCTTCTTTGGTAGGTTAGTCATGAATCAGAGGGCTTGTGCATCTTATAGCACATCAACACTAGTGATAGCTAAAGGGAACATCTAATTTATGGGCTAACTTATTTTTATGAATATGCAGGGCTTAAATTCAGCAGTTGGTGTGTGCTCTATGAAGTGACGTGACGGTTTTGTGTATCAAGATCAATGAATTAGACTTTGTCTTTTTCTCATAAAGCAGAAAGTCTTTGGAGTAACTCAGCTTTGAGCGAGAGAGCTCCTTTCAGGCAGCCGAGCAATACGCCTGGCTGAGCCCTTGCCAGCCGGTCCTCAAGAGGAGAGGGGTACGATTCGGATTCAGCTCGGAGGAGTTCGCATCTCCCCAGAATCCAGCGTGTTGAGGTGCCTAACAGAAAGACAGCAAGGTGTTTCCTTTAGCTAACCTGAAGGTCTTGCAGCAGCGACGTCGCCTTGCCGGTGACCTCTGGGCAGAGGCTATCGTTTCTGTTTACCTACCTATACAGCCGTGTAGCTGCGCGCGGCGCGGGACGAACAGAAATGGCCGGACCTGCCCCTGCAGGGACTTCTCCTCTGCTTTAGAGGCGGCACGAACACCCGGCAGATCATTTCGTGGCAGACGAGAGGCAGCAGCGGAAGGGAGAGGGTGTAACATACGGTCGCTTCATTCCCCTGTGGGTTTTGATTTAAAGAAGTTGTAGCGTTTGGGTCAGCTGGGCATCCGTGTGCCAGCGCAGCCCTGGGTCACAGCTATGTCGCCCTAATGAGGGCATGACTCAGTAAGCAAGCTGATTGCAGAAAAGTAACATTATAAACGTGAACGACTTCTCTCTGCTTTGCCCCCGTGGGCCCCCAGCATTACAAGGGAACTCAGGCAGGTCCCCCCGTGGCAGCAGTGCCACCCCCAGACAGATGCCGTGTGTCCCGAGAGGTTGTCCCGGCACCCACAGGCACTTCAGGCTCTCTGGGGAATTTCCAGGGATATGCAGAGCATCCAGGGATGCTCTGACCACTAAGACTAGTCTGAAGGATTGGAAAGGATGAAGACCCATCAGACCTTCACGGCTAGTATTTTGGTCAGGCCTACAACAGCTAACCAGGGTGCTTCACTCACTATTCAACCCCAGCCAGGACCTCAAGTGACAGCTAACAGCATCTGAGCTTGCTTTCTGTTACGGAGAAGGCTCCTGTTGCCTGTCTGATTCAGTTTCATTCAAGCTCTTCGCTCTTGCCAGAGCTCCGTCCTGGAGATGAAGGGCCTGCAGGAATCCCTGCCACAAGTTGCACGAGGTGTAAGCATAAAGCAAGAGATCGCTGTGCGCCATTCCTTTGGTGACCCTTCCACCCCTTTATTTCCTCCATTTTATTAAGAGGTGGTGTAGAAATAAAAGTGCAGGAACATCCTCATTGGAGCGGGGGAAAACCCCTTCCCCACGCAGCGTGACTAACCTCTGCTGTCTGTGCCTGGCGGAGGACAGCAGCTCCTGGGCGCGCTGCCGTACGGTTCAACAATGTGTGTTGAGCCCACGTTTTTGTGACGCTGGGCTGGTTTAGCTTGGACTCATTTGTTTGCTTTGGTCAGCCTTGTGCCGGCTGGTGGGTGCTCCAGGCCGGCGGTGCCTGCGGGCCCCGATGCTGCCAGCCAAGCCCTACCCAGGCACAGCGTACGGTGTCGGCGCCGCTCGCCCGGCAGTGACAGCCGCACTCCGCTCGCACGCAGGGTAACAACTCACCGGCCTCGGTTTTCCAATTGCAGAATATTCAGTTGTCGCAACCAGAGGGAAGAGGGCATGCTGCGGCGTCAGCCCCCCACCCGATGGTGCCGCACGCCGCCGGGCTTAGACTGATGCAAGGTTTTAGGCTAGTCGGGAGGGAGCTGCTCTTCAGACTAACCTGGATGGCGCTCGGTCAAGATTTTTATAAACTGGTCCGGTGTTTTGTGTTTTTTTATCTCTAACTGGCTCTAGATTAATTGCAGCTGGTCTGCAGTATAGGTTTTGATGTGCGCGTGTCTGTAAGAGCGATCGCGAGGGAAGGGCGTGACTGTGCGCACAGCGGCGTGAGGGGTTTCTGTACGTGGACCACTCTGTAATCAACACAGCGTTGTGTGGAGCACCGTGGGGGCATGTTTGTGACCCCCCCGGCCACAGTCCCTGCTTTTCCTTCTCTCGAGGGCTCGCTGCTTGTCTGTGTGGCAGCAGACGTGCAATGCCAGCCCCGCGCTGATCCACAGCCCACCAGAGACTTCCTGCACTGCAGGGCTGGCAGGCTGCTGCTACGCAGCTGCGAGCCTTTTTCACAGACAAGCAGCAAAATTTCAGCCCCTGGAGGGGCCCTGTGAGTTCAGCAGCTTGAAACAAGCTCATTTGTTTGCTGCTTTTCCATCTTTCGTAATTGTGAGGGTGAAACCAAAGCATGCCCCGCACAGCAGCCGGGGCAGGCGTCGGTAGGTGCTTACACCAGCATCTTCGCCCGCAGCCAAACCTTGCCCCGCACGAGCCTCCCCTCCGCTCGCCCTCAGGGAACCAGACTCGCCCCGTGGCTGGTTATGTTGGAATTTCAAGACGGTAAGTGGCTTGAGTGTGGGTCTGACACACTTAAGGCAGGACTGTGCTCTCACTGGCAGGGGGAATGGGTTAAAAAATGGATTGAGGCAAACGCACACCACTGCTGGCAAGTCCCGTCAACGGCAAAGTCCGATTACAAAAACCTTGTGGTGTTGCTGGTGGCTGTTACCCCTCCTAAGAAGTTCATCGTTGTTATTATTAAAATTTAAAAGGTCATGCATGGAAATTCTGTGTAAAAGAGGGTGCCTGTCTCCCCCTCTAAGTCTGTCATATCCCATTGATGGGCGCTCGTGGGAAGGGCTGGTGCTGACTGTATGCTGGGTGCCCTGTGTGATTCAGGGCACAGCACGCAGCCCTTGCTGGAGAAGTCCTGTCTCTCTTGCAGCAATGGTACACCAGCTCGATGAATGTTGTCTGCACCTGGCTGACGGACCGCATGGACCTGCAGCTTCACATTTATCAACTGAAAACTCTCATTAGGATAGTGAAGGTAATAGTCTGATGCGTTTTCGCTACCGCCTTGCTGTCGGAAGGAGCGTGTGTGTATGCCTGCATGCGTGCGGCATGTTCTCCTAGGCAAACTGTTGCTGGCAAATATATTAACCCATTTGCTAAAATTCTTAAAAATTAAGATACTTGTGTGTACGGCATGTAGCAAAGCATGAACAGGAACTTGAAATGCATATAAATGCAAAATACAGGTGTGCAAATAAGAACAAAGTAACTGCTTGCATGAAAAAAGGGAAACCCTACTGGGGTCTGTTCGACCTTACCTGTACAATAAGCGCACCAAAATTAGCCTTTTTTGTGGACAAACATGTTGATCACACCAATGAACCCAGGTGTTAAAACGGGTTAAATCAAACCAAAAGTTTTTAACCCTATTTTACTAGAAGCATTTAAGCCCAGCTATTGCTTGTGATTATCGTCAGAATGCAAATGAGGACTGTTCTCATAGTTAATTGAAGTTGTTTCTTTTACAATGGGTGTATATAATCAACTTGAAGAGATCACAAAGGTGAGATAACATACCCCGAAAGTAACATTTTTCCCCTTGAGTGCACGTGTATGTGTATATGTGTGTGTGTGTGCGTGCCTTGGACTAATGATAATTATTTCAGTGTGAAATCGCAGTGGTTTACATGAAATAATAAGATCACAGAAGGGGGTAGATACATTTTTGATCATTTTAGGTTCTATCTAATGCTTTTTGGTCTAGTATTTTATAATGTTTATGGTCTTGTGTGCAGTGAACACATTGAAGGCATGAATAAATTAAAACCGAAATGTATTAAATGTGCTTTTCATAACTGAAAACAACAGGCACAGACAAATTATTTCTACTTGTCAGCTAGCTGAGGAAAGCTTTCTTCCTTGTGCTTTATTTATACCGATATTACATTCAGAAGCAGCTACAACAAATCCAAGGACTTTCTGAAATAGCAGAACAGTAAGTAGTTTCCACGCAGAGCACAGAGCAGAATTAAGTGAACTACAAGGCCAGAGTTCTATCTCACAGAGTTAAGAAGTTTTTAAACATAAATTCACATGAGAGATATTAATCGTAGTAACAAGGGAAATATAGCTAACTATGGAAATACAACGCCAGTTTCATAATTAGGTGAAGAAAGACAGATTTAAGAAACACATGCCATGCGCTTATGTTTATACATCAACAATTCTCCCCGGTATCCTAAACTTAGCTTATTTAATCCCTATACTGTAGGTAGGATTATTTAATATGGAGCATTCTGGGAACGTGTAATCACGTCTGCGGTTACGGGCGATAAGCGTTCTGCTGCGTGAAGAGTAACTGACGTTACAGGCAGATGAATGCATCCAGAAGCAAGGAAAGTTAGGTGGAGCAGAGCCCTGATCTGTGGCTTCAATGTCTTTTTAGACCCCGACCTACCACACGTGAAGGTCCCCCGAGCAGCCCCCAGTACGCCCCTGCTTGCAGCCAGGCAGCGCGGCCACGCTGCGGGCCCCGCAGGGGCAGGGCCGGCGTCGCAGAGCTGTAGTTCGCTGCTCAAGGCACCCCAAAGGGACCTCTGCCGCAGCGGCCTCTGCGCTGCGCGGGGCGATGCGAAACGTCCCCGGGGCTGGGGTTTCCCTGGGCGCCCAGCCTCTTCCGTCGGTGGGCTCGCACCCCGAGCACGGGGGCACGGGCCGACTCTTGCGGCGAAGCTGGGGAGCCGGTGTCAGCCCTGACCCGGGTGCTGTCCCCTCCTCCCTCCGTGCCTCTCCCCGCTCTAGAAAACGTACCGGGATTTCCGATTGCAAGGCGTGCTGGACTCCACCTTAAACAGCAAAACCTACGAGACCATCCGGAACCGGCTGACGGTGGAGGAGGCCACGGCGTCGGTCAGCGAAGGCGGCGGGCTCCAGGGGATCACCATGAAGGACAGCGATGAGGAAGACGAAGAGGACGACTAGGGGAGCTGGCCTGGAGGACCGGCCGGGGGTCGCCTGGTATCTGTGCATGTACCTCGTCTGTAACTCAGTTAGCCACATTAGGAATTTTTATGTCAGCTCTAAATGCCCATGAGAAGTTTACCAATACAAATGCCATGTTAGCTGTGTGGTAATAAGATTAGCACCTCTCTTTGATTCATCGGTTTCCTAATTTCATGTCTGTATGTTCATAAGCAATATGGAGCACCATTGTTTAATACTGTTAATGGAAAAACTACATAGAAAACATGCTAGGTGTGTCCCTGTTATAATTAAAGTTTAAACAATGCTTCGTTAATGTACTGTATATACATTGATGGTAAATTGTTGTGAAGATGAGTGAATCGAGTCCTTTCATTTCTTTGTTTCTCTTCTGTGGATGCCAACTGCTTAAAATTAATAAAAAAACAGGTTTGTTTTTAAAAGAAGAACGAGGCAATTACAAATGATTTTTTTGTTCTCTCTGTTCATTTAAAAACCAGAAAACAAACAAACCCAGACAGACGTTTGAATCACTCTGCATCCTTGTTAACGTACCAGGCTCTTCCCTTCAATATGCAGTTAACTCCATAGAGGCTACGTCCCAAAGGATTAGTCATTCTAATTGCCACACCAGATTAATCCTATCATTATGGATATATCATGCCACATTACAAGTCCAAAGCAGTTGTTTTATGTTGACGTTTGCTCCTCTAAATGTTACATTTTTGTTTAAATTTCAAATAACTGTGTATGTACAAAGACAACTTTAATTACAATCTTAGACTATACAAATGTGTTTATAATAATATATTGAATATTTATTTCAGTAGATTGTAACCATAATTTACAATTCCTCTGTTTCACAATGGTTTTTATATATGTCATGTACATTGCATTTTGACCAGTAACTGCATGTCCATCAGTCCCCCCTCCAGAGCTTTTACTTTCTGTGTAAAATAGTGATCCATCTTGCTTTTTTTGCCTTATACAAGCCGACAGTTGTAAAAGTGTGAGAACTGTGGCTTCTCAATAAATAACTATTCAGATGTCCTAAGAATAAATTATGGAGTCTTTTTATGTCTGCCTTAGGAAAAAAAAAAGAATTACAAGCTGAGATGTAAGAGCCCCCACCTCTCAGAATAAAGGCATTTTCTTTTCTCATGGCTGTTTTTACAGTTTATTAATTAAGAAGATGGTTTCCTGATCTGCTCCCAAAGGTCAAAGTGGGACCAGACTCTATATTCCCCAGGTACAAGGACATTTCTGCTGTCACCTCCACAGTTGTTTCCACCGTTAGCTGCTCTCTACGTCCTCTGATCTGTCTCAGGTCGTCTCATTGCCCCTGTTGTTACGTGGAAATCAGCCTTGCCTGACACTTACCTTCCACCAAATGGCCTCAGTTTGTATTTTAACTTCTCCCAAAAGAGCCAAGTGCAGCAGCCTGCAAGGCACTTACGAACACACGGCACGGGGCATACGCCTAGCTGAAATCAAAAGGCTGGTTTGATGGAAAGCATGTTAGGTTGGGAGTTTTCTAAGAGGTTTTGCAGTCACTCCCTCCCATCAGCCAATTCAAACCAAAAATGACTGCTGCTAGCCCAGGTTTCAGTCATTTGAGAGAGAAGGAGAAGAGCTGATGTCCTTCACCTCCAAGCACAGCAACCTGTTGCCACCTTGGGGAACAAGGACAAATGTTCACCAGCTACAAATAAAAGATGGGCTGGAAAAACATCCTGCCTGGACAAACCTTCCTGACAACATCAACCATTAAACTAAACCATCTTCCAGTTCCCAAGAGCCATGAGACACTCCCTGGACATATGGGAGGAGGAGGAGGGGACCTCTGGGAACAGCCAGTGAAGCGGGTGTTGACTCCCAAATGGGGCTGAGATAGTTATGGAGCCTGGAGCAATATGCACCTGTAATGCTGCATTTTGGGTCCCTTCCCTCTCAGGTAGAGTTTAGCGCCTAGCTCTGGAGGTGCTCTGCAGCCCCTTCTGGATGGCCATGCCCTACACATTCAACGCCCACCTGCCCGTGGTGACCTGCATGCTCTACCCCCCACGGAATAGGGACATTAGCAGGGTCTTTACTTTAGGAGTGGGTGGTAGGCATGCACATTTAGTACCATTTACATATTGATGAGCCATTTGATGCACAAGTTTTGAACCCTGACTCTAGCCCAGCAGACCACTTGAGTTTTGTCTTGCCCCATGATGCTGGTACAGGGAAGCATTGCCAGGAAAAGCCAACTCCAAGGACTTAGGCAGGAACGTGGCCTTGTGACCACTGACACAGGAAGATCTTCCCCCTTCTTACCCATCCTCTAGCTGTAAAAATACTTGGTCCTAAATACCCAGAGAAACTGAGATAGCAGGAGAACGTTTAAGTCATACTGAGTCCACCAAAACCAATTCAGGTACCTCTGCAGGTCTGTCACTGGGACACATACAAAACCCATCTATATCTTGACATCGTTAAGCTTGGAGCCTTCAGTCACACCCTGAAGTCCTAACAGGACTTGCCTGACAAAACAAGTCTCACAAAACATAAAGGAATGAACAAACTGCAAGCACCACCTCGTCCTTCTTTCTAGGTGATTGAGATCCACTTGAGATCCATACACATCTCCCCTTGAGGTGCATGCATGTGCGCATCCCTTCTTCATCCTCTCCCTTAGCTGTGCCAAGTATTTATATGAAGGGCAACAGCTCCAAGAGGAGGCACTGGGAAAACCTTACCTGGGGTGGTCACCAGGCTGGTAGCAAAGAGCAATGGGGGAGACACAAATTTGTAGCTCTGCTCCCAGTCAGGCAGAGCAGAGCTGGAGAAACAGCTTGATTCTGCTCTGGAACTGGCTTCCTTTTTTTTTTTTTTTTTTTTTTTTAAAACATGAAATATTTATTGGGTAAAAACACAGCCCACTTCCACCTGCCACCTTTCAAAATAGTGAGCCCTGCTCAGTTTTTTGTGGGCGCAGCCTTCAGGAGACGATCCTTGGCTGTGCATCACTAACACACATAGGTGCCTCCCTGAAATGCAGTGATGGACACCCTTGTCTGAGTCGCTCTGTCATTAGCAATGACCCTATAGCCTGTGACAGCTTTTTGCGGTGTCCTCAAACCCCAATAAAGCACCTCAGAGACTCTGTAACAACCCTGAGGATATGTCAGGCTTGACCACACATTCAAAATAAGGAAACATTAGCCACTGTACTTCTTTTAAGGAGTTTGGACCCAAATCATGAGCTTCAAGTTACATACTTTAGTGTGAGCGGGGAGAAGAACTCGTGTACAAGCAATGCTGCAAAGCAGGATTTAACCTCCCACTCCAGAGCAAAGGAGCACATCGTACCCTGATCCCCACTGCCTTTAACCCTGCAAATGGTTACGTGGGTTCTGGCAGCCCGACCCCGTCCTATATGGGTGCTGCACCATGGTACCAAGAGTGAGGAGTGCTGGCTTGGGTTAATCCTGCAGAAATGTTGAATCCAAAATGGTTTTGTTTTTATCCGGAAAACATAAATCCAGGTTTAAAGCCCTCCTGGCCACAGATTACACTTTGGACAGGACTCGGGTTCCTGCAGAGCAGAGCTGCACCTCGGGAAGCATCTAAAAGGGCTTGCTGATGGGTGGGAGCACTCTGGCAAACCCAGCCAAGAAACGCAGAGGTCTGCTGCTGGTTTCGCTTCAACCCATGGCTGCGATGGAATGAGCTCCAACAGTCAAAGGACTTTCTGCCAGTACAACTGCACCTAGATGAAGAATCTGCCAGTACAGTTATGTCAATCAGTTTTGGGGAAAGAGGAAAATTTCATTCCTCTGCCAGCAAAATTTTAAATGATAGATCAGGCCAAAACTTCTCTCATATTTACAGGGAAGTCCAGCGAAAATATCCTTTTCTTGACAGACTTACTTAAAGCATGTGGCACAGAGACTGAAAATGCTATCAACTATTTGACTGACAAGTGTCAGCAGCTGTTCATCCAATTTGTTTTGTATTTCAGCAACTAACAGATTCTTTCCCCTCTGCTGTAATACATGTCTCCTGGCCCATAGGCATCTTAGAAATTGCTTTTCTGCCTCTCCAGTGACCAAAACGTCAAAAATATTAGACGACAATTTGTGTTCAGAAGCATAAACAGGCATGCAGTAAGCAAAAATTATTTTGTCAATGTTCAGGCTGTGTTCTTTTTAGAAAATACACAGTAAACCTAAGGCAAAAATCAGTTCTCTAAAGCTTTAAAAGAAAAAGCTGAAGCAAACAAAGCCCCCAATAAATTAGCACAGGTTAAACCATCAACTACCAAGGGAAAAAGCACTCATCTGATGGCCAGCCGAAATGCAGCTGAGCCATATTTCAACCTCTGCACTTGGTGAAGTTCACGATTCTGCACTACCGCCACTGTCACTAACACTTGTTCAAAAACCTGCTCCGTGGTGTCGTGATACAAGAGTCACCACTACGTCAAGCTGAGTCCAGCTAGGAGAGTCACAGAATCACAGAATCACTAGGTTGGAAAGGACCTTCAAGATCATCAAGTCCAACCATTAATCCAGTGCCACCATGTCCCCTAAACCATGTCCTGAAGTGCCGCATCCACACGTTTTTTGAACACTTCCAGAGACAGCAACTCCACCCCCTCCCGGGGCAGCCTGTTCCAATACCTGACCACCCTCTCGGTGAAGAAAATTTTCCTAATATCCAATCTAACCCTCCCCTGGCGCAACTTGAGGCCATTTCCTCTCGTCCTATCGCTAGTTACTTGGGAGAAGAGGCCAACGCCCTCGTCGCCACGACCCCCTTAAACCATTCACAAAAACCAGCCTTCTTCATCTTAGGTCTATCAATGCTTTCAGAAACTCTTTGATCCTGACTGCATATAATATAAGTTACAATTATTGCAGTTGCCACCCGTTCTGAACTTGCTGGACTAAAAAGCCTGTGTGACACCTCTCTCCGGTGAGCTGTATTCAGCCGTATTTCCTTTATTCAAGCACGTTCAGGCTCTTGAGCTAAACCTGAAGTGATATTTTCCTCAGCCTTTCTAAAAGATGCATATTCAATTTCAAGTTGTAAATCTGCATTTGTTGTAACTATGCAAAATATGGGAGGAAAAAGTGCAGAGATTATATGCAATCTGCCAGCAGAGTTGTGTGCCATGAGGAAAATGCCTCACAGGTCAAAACAAAGAAAAACACTGAGCAACAAATTAGTTGCAGGCAGTAGCTAATATGGAGATCAAAAGATTAAAATCAACATGCAACGATGAAATCACTGGAATAATAGGAGCACTTAAGAAGATTAAGTCAATAACAGAGTCCAGTAGTACAAAAATAAGATTTTGATTATACTGTAAAATTTGATATTGGGAGAGCAAAAGCAATTACAACCACGACATGCTTGGCTCTCCCCGCCTTAGACCATCTTGGCTCATTTCCTATGCAAGGAATACAGTTGTTGAAATAAACAGAAATGTTGTGACTCAAGAGCACGATTCAAAAACAAACCAGGTGGTCAGATCAGATTGGGGACTGACAAGACGGGGTCTGTAAAACGAGGACTTGTTGCAGATCCCGGAGGATACGACAGCTGGGGGGAACAAAGGCCACACCGTTTAGGACTGCTTTCGGCAGAGAAGGCAGCTGATCTTGGGGGGCTGTCCCGGGCGGTCAGCTGGAGAGGAGAGGCACGCACTGGAAAGGAGGAGAGAAATAGCTCAAAGGCTTGAAGAGAATGTGGTGGCAAACTGATAACAGGGAAGGTTTTTTTCTATCCAGCTAAAACAGCAAAGACTGCAGGTTAGGTTTTGCGACGTACACCAGAGGCAGCCTCCAAACCCATCTGGACCCTCACATACGGGACAGAAACAGCAGTGCTGGGGGTCACCCAGTAGCACAGCCCAATGAGGATAGGAAGGATGACCCGCCGAGGGGCAGCTCATGCTCCCTGCAACAGATCTACCCTTGGTCAATGCGGGCGTGTGAAGGGGAAGAGATGAACCAGTCCCTCCAACACACACTGGCCATGGCTGTGGCCATGACACTGACACCAGCCTCATCCAAGGACTGCAGGGCCAAAGGCCTCTAGCTCTCCCGGGAAGAAACGGCCACCCTGTTGACAGCCTCCTTGCCCCAGAAGTTTTAGAGCCCTGGGTGGGC